AGTATTGGAACGTCCGAAAAGAATACCTATTGTTTTGGTAGGGTTTATTTTGATTTTCCAGCGATGAAACCATGTGGTAGCTAGGTTGAGTTGGTGTTGTAATTGTATGGCTGCACGTTTCGGGTTTTTGTCGAAAGTAAAGAACATAGTGTCGTCAGCGAATAGTGAGAGGTGAGCTTTAGGAGTTGTTGGTATGTCGTTAATGTAAGTCAAGTAGAGAGTAGGTGAAAGGCAGGATCCTTGAGGGACGCCTGCGAGTATGTGTCTGGTGGACGAGAACGAGTCTTCGATTTTTGTGACAAAAGTGCGGTCAGTGAGAAAGGATTCGATGATTTTAACGATTTCAGTCGAGATGTTGAGTTGGGACAGTTTGTAGAGGAGACCGACGTGCCAGACCCGGTCAAAGGCTTTTTCCACGTCAAGGAAAATGGAGGCGGTGTTTACGTTGTCGTTAAAGTTCTGACTAAGTTGGTGAGTAAGTTTGGTCAGTTGTAGAGTGGTAGAGTGTTCAGGTCTGAAGGCAAATTGTTCTGGGCGGATTTTGTCTCGAAGATTGGTTTGAAGGTGAGAGAGGATGATTCGTTCGTAAATTTTTGATATGGAGGAGAGTAGAGCGATAGGTCGGTAATTTTCGGGAAGTGTGTGATCTTTACCCGGCTTGGGGATGGAAATTATTACTGCTTTTTTCCAAGCACGTGGAAAGTAGCAAATTCTGAGGGAGCAATTTATAATTTGTGTTAACGAAAGTAGAATGTTATTTGGTAGGAATTTAAGAGCAGTGTTGGTGATGAGATCGTCACCAGGGGCTTTCTTTTTGCGGAGTGTGTTTATGATTTTTTGGATTGTGCCAGGAGTGGTGAATAAATTAGATTTTGTGATATTTATGTTTCGAAGCGAGTTGGAGTGGGCAGAAACTTCTGGAAGGTCGGGACCAGGGTTTGGTTGGAATTGGAGTTCGAGAGAGTCGGCTATCAACTCGGCTCGATCGATGGCCGGAAAAACTAGGCCGTTGGGGCCGGTAAGAGGGTGGGATGCAGGACGTTTGTGGAGGAGACATTTGTTTAGTTTGTATATGGAACCGTCCTGATGGTCAAGAGAATTAAGAAAAATGTCCCACTGGTCAGTTTTGTGAGTTTCGAGTAAAGTTCTGATTAATGAGATTTTGGCGTTAAGTTGACGTTTGGTAGTCGGGTCACGGTTTCTTTGCCATTGACGGCGTAATTGGTTTTTTTCAGTTATTTCAAGTTTTATGTAGTCAGGTAGTAAAAAGGAAGAGTTTTTGTGTTTAGGGGTAAATACGCTAGCTTCAATCGCGTGTTGTATGTTTTTGGTGAGAGTATCAATTGCCAAATCGATTGACTCACTGTTGATGGTCGGTCGTTCAGTTGGGTTTGGTAAGTTGGATAGAATTGTCTTGTATTTTGTCCAGTTAATGAAGCGGTTAGTCGTTGGAGGGGACGATGATACCGGAGTACACAAGGTCTCCAGAAGGATAGGGTTGTGGTCAGAAGATAGCTCGTTGAGGTTGTCGATTTGAGTAGGATAAGGTAGTCGAACGAGTGCGATGTCAAGTATGTCAGGTCTGTATCTGGCGTTTGTCGGGAAGTGTGTGGGGGATGAGGGAGCAGTAATGGTATAGTCCGATTGTTGAACGTGGTCAAAAAGTACGCGACCGGCAGCGTTTGTCGAGTGGCTATACCAGAGAGGGTGTTTGGCGTTGAAGTCACCTGCAGAGATTTGCCATTCGGCACTTTGGGTCAACAAGTCCAAGTCGTGAGACGTGAGTGTTGCACCTGGTGGTTTGTATACCGCTGATACAAGGACTTCGTGGCCGTTTAGTTGGATGAGGACAGAAGAGGTTTGAATGAGTGTGTTAAGAGTTATAGGTTGGTGAATGATGCGTCGGTGGATTAGAACAGCCGTGCCGCCGTGAGCAGGTGAGCCGCGGACGGGCGGCAGGTCATTCCTGTATGTGAAGAAATTTGGAATGTGAAGTTTGGAAGAAGGTGGTAGATGAGTTTCATTTAGTAAGATTATGTCGGTTTTCAGTAGGAGTGCGAGGGAGCGTAGTTCGTTGAGTTTGTGTTTGATACCGTTGGAGTTCCAAAATAGGATTTTTAAGTTATTCATTTTGGGGCGAGAGTATGGACAGGAATGTTTTGATCGTTGATTCTATGAGAGTTTTCGGATCATGATTATTGGATATTGCAGTCAGTAGGTTGGTGAGCAGGTTTAGTATCAGCGACAAGTTTAGTTGTGGGACTGGAGAATTTGAAGAAGAGTGCGCTGATTTTGATGTTGCTGCGGAGTATGTCAATGTAGTGTTTTGTTTAGGGTGAGGTGGTGGAGGAGGGGGGGTTGAGATTGGGTGTGAGGATTTATTTTGAACGAAGTCTTGGGTTGGAGTTGGAGATACCTGCTGTTTCTGGGCCATGAATTGGGGGCAGCCACGAAAGTTTGCCGTGTGTTGGCCGCCGCAGTTGCAGCATGTCGGAGGTTGCTCGAGAGTTTTTGGACAGGCGTTTGCATTGTGGTTACCGGCGCATTTTACACATCGCGGCGGATGACCACAGTTACGTGAACCATGGCCAAAGCGTTGACATGAAAAGCACTGGGCCGGGCCGGAGGGTTTGAGGGGTTCAACTGAGATTTGCAAGTAAAACAAGTTTGTGAGAAGAAATATGTCCTTAGCAGACGGATTTGCGGCGATGTGCACTACACATATCGGCATAGGTTTATCGGGGGTGCCAAAGCGGCGGACGTAGTTTACGGAGTAACCTAGAGTAACTAACTCGTCTTTTAGTTCGTCAGTTGATATATCAGTCGGAATGCCCTTTAGAACGACTTTTACAGAACGTTCCTCGGGGAGAGAAAAAGTGTGGAATTCGGTTCCCAGGTGTAACAGGGTCTTTTGGATCAGGCGGAATTGGGTAGTATCGGCTGCTCGTAGGGTTACCCGGTCGCCGGAGGATTTTGCTGAAAGAGAGCTCGGTTGCAAGTTTTGGATTGAATAGATGGTGGGCGCGGCCTTCCGCCAGGAAGCGGAACTCAGTATGATGGGTGGAGGTCTGGAGACTGAAGGAGTTTTGGACGGAACTTGAGTGGCTGAGAGTGAGGTGTTTACTGAGTGTACGGAAGTAAGTGATGATAGGGAGTGGTGGGTTGAGGTGCTAGAGTCGGAAAAAGAGTCTAGGGTTTCAGAGTCGGAAGCACTGGAGTTAGATTGTATTGGGGAAGGGGGAGCCGAACGTTGTTTTGGTATTTTCGGAGGTGGTTTGGTCGGGGGGTCTCCGACCTTCCTACGCTTGTTGTTCCTGGTCATTTCAGGTGGTGTGGGATGTTGGGGAGGGGATGGGATGCTGTGGCAATGTGAGGGCGCGGCCGGTTAGGTTAGGTTAGACCGGTTAGGTTAGGTTTGACCGGTGAACTGTCCCGGTATATATACTATTTGTTTCTCTTTGTTGTCCTGTGATTGGTCGAGGGTGGTTGCTTTGACGAGCAATAACCACACCTCGACCCGTTGGTGTTCGCTTTGTTAATGTGGTTTTCGCTTGTCATTTCCGTGAAACTTTCCTGTTGACAAACTACTTATTCCAATATGTCGCGTCTATTGCTTGTGTCGTATTATGTTGCCATACTGTTGTATTAGGTCTTAGGTGGTCCTGAAAAGGACCATTTTGGTATAGTGACGGTTTATCCCGTTACAAATATTATCAATTCCTTTCTAACAAATAGACAATTCTCAGTTAAAATAAACGAAAATTTTTCTGACCCCCGGTCCATCTCTGCTGGTGTACCTCAAGGGTCCAAATTCGGACCTATATTGTTCAATATATTCATATCTGATATACCGCAATCACCACGCACAAACATCGCCCTATTCGCAGACGACACAACTATCTACAGTGAATCCCACAACGTTGAAGCGATAACAAACAACTTACAAGATCACCTAAATCTACTGGCAAAATGGTTCAATACCTGGAAAATACACATAAACGCTTCAAAAAGCACAGCAGTCATTTTTAGCTTACGTCGCTATTCCACTCCACCACCATTAAGATTCGATAACGATTCCATACCTTGGCAGCCTTCTGTCAAGTACCTTGGTGTCACGTTAGACAAGAAGTTAACCTGGGGGCCTCACATAGCTTCTAAACTTCAACAAGCATACCAGCGCCTCTCAATGCTATTCCCTATCTTAAACAAAAAATCAGTTATACAAAAAAATGTTCAATATTAATTTACAAGCAATTACTACGCTCACTAATTACCTATGCCTGCCCTGGGGTAACTGCTCAGCGACACACTTAAGAAAAATACAAATTTTCCAAAACAAAGTCCTCAGAATAATTGCAAATGCCCCATGGTTTGTCAGAAATGCAAATCTCCACAAAGACTTTCAAATCCAAGAAATCAAAGATCATATAAAAACATTAGCAAAAAATTTCCACTGCTCTATTCCAAACTCATCAGGAGCAATTCACTATAACCTCCTCACTCACCCAACTCATCGTCGATTAAAACGAGGTCGTCCCCACGACCTCCTACACTAAGCCACTTCTCAACATCCAGATCTCCACTCTACACACGCGCTTCCTCCAGATAACTCTACGACCTCTCTGCTACTTATAGTTATTAAATTATTGTAAATATGTAAATACTAGAATAATATTATTGTAATCACATTGTAACATCTGTAAATATCTTACAATCACCAATTGTAAATTATCCTTAGTACTTATAAATATTTAATTATCATGTTAATACCTGTTAAAACATAAGTATATTGTCAAATATCCCTAGACATAGATAGCCTTAGGCTAGGAATGTCTTAGTTTAAAATAATAATAAAAAAAAAAATATAGCCATTTTATGTATTACACATTTCTGATTTTAATTTTTTAATGCAATCATTGCAATCAGTTTAGAGTAAGTTATAAGTAACTTAGGTAACTATAACAAATTTTACATTTTATAAACAGTTGTTGGTCACTTACACGTGTGGTCAGGTATGTATGGATTTGATTCTCTGCCCATTGATTTTTCTCGTTTTCTCCATTTAGCTCTACGGTTTTGAAACCATACCTATATACAATAAAGACATCATTATTATATGTATGGCACGTATACATTTTATTACTTGATTCTATAGATGATTATTAAAATTAAATATTTATTCAGTACTATCACGTATATTTATTGTGACTGAACATTTTTTTCGGGAAAAGAAGAATCCTATTTTAAATTAAAAGTCAATAGGTAATATAAATATAATATGATCTCAATGTTTTAATTATATGTTCGATGGAAATTTCATATAAATATTGAATTGCTTACTGATATGTTAATATCATTGCATGATATAAAATTTGTTGTAATAATGCTGCGATTATTACGATGAATGGAAATTACCATTTAACTGAGTAATTCAAGCAATCATTTTTTTTTCAACCCATACAACACGGTAAAAATACTATACCATATACAGAACATATTATAATATATTATTTAGGATATATTAGGGTTTCAACTTGAGTACAAAGACCAAAAGTGTACTTTTCCATTTTCCTTTAATATCTGTTTCCAGTGTTTCCACCCAAAACCTTTCTATACTATATAAGTTATAAACAGTTATGGTTTTTTAATACCTCTAATACTCCAAAATATTATATACTACTAAACTAAAAAAAGAAAAATTATAAGATTATAACCCAATACACAAAGGAAATAATTTACACTTAAAATATTGCGTTTAATAAAATAGAATACTGAATATTTATTAAAACAAAATTTTGTTTTAAATTTCAGGAACAATTTTGTAAAAAGTGTATTCTACAATAATTTCATTTAAATAAATTGTTTATTTAAAAAAAGAGAAAAACTTATTATATTCATACCTTACATACCTATTTATTATTTTATTCAATGTAGGCTTATTGTATTTATTAAAATGTATCTTACACTGTTATTTGTTTTACTACCTAGTTTAGATTCCGATAAATTTATTGATTTTACAATGATGTGTTTTTGCATGTATTCTTTTTTGTGGTAGGAAACTGGAAAGTGAATCTATAGTTGGTACTTTGGAAGGTCATAACTCATAATTAAAAATGTCCATCATCCAGTAGTTGTCCAAAGAGTCAGTAAAAACTACCAACAAATTAAGGAAAAACTGAGATTTTTAAGTTAGCAAAACTGCAAAAGCGGTTTTCGAAAAAATATATTTTGTTTTTTGGTGTAGTTCCAAAAAAAATTCAGTAAATACATAAAATGTTCACTAAATATTTATATTGTCATTTACCATACAGCATAACATTTTCAAAATATTTTGCCTTGTTTCGAGATATTTATAGACATTTAAAATTTAAAATTTCTTAGTGTTTTTTTCTAAAAATTTTATTGCAAATTTAATACAAGGTTTCTCATAAGTTGTTACAATAACAGTTGAGATATACTATATTGTTTATAAGTATTTAATTTATTATTTAAATGAAGAATACATTTTGTTATAATTTAAAAATATTATTTGTGGGTACTTGAAAGTTTTAAAGTTTATTGTTATATTCTATACACAATGACATTTTAAAATTCAATTTTTTGGTGAAAGTTAATTTAACCAACTGTATTACTAAAGCCTAATAGACAGTAGTAAAATAAATTACTTTGATCACAATAATATCTTAAAATATATTTAGAAATAGGTATAGGCTGACAGACCATTTTCTCTCAGAATTGTTTTTCGTATACAATCATTTTATATAATATTATGTTGTAAAATTTAAATCATCCATAACAGTGACTTCTCTAGACACCTAATGTATACAGCGGAACGTTACCCACTTTTTAAATTTTCAATTAACTTTCTATATAACAGCTTTAATACCTATATATAGACATTGTTTTGGTGTAAACATGGAATCGGTCAATACGACTCCATTTGGTGGAAAAGAGTTAGGTACACTTTTGGTCCAAACGTGTTATGATTATATATTATGCGCCCATTATACTATTTTTCATTAATTGAAAAAATTAAAAATATTTTATTAAAAATTTATATTAAAAAATCAAAATGATAATAATCATTAACTTTATTAAATAACAACGTAAAATGACACTGTGTATCGTGTATGTTAAGTATTATGTATGTGAGAACGTATATTATAATATGTATAGAACCTGCAAAAACTATGATATTATTATTCCTCTCCCCAATTACAGGATTATGTTTCAGATACCATTTACACCCTCCTGCCAACCTACCAAATAGGTACCATGCGAAACGACGTCGGCCATTGGATATTGTTTATCACGTATTATATAATTAATTTAGTTTGGCTTAACGGCGTGTGCTTGGAAACTAAAAGTATAAGAGGGTATGTTTATTATTTATTATTATATATATATATATATGTATATTGATGAATACGGTGAGAGGGAGGGAAAAAATCTCTTTTTTATTGGCCAGGTTAAAATATTGACAATACACTTAAAACGGGAGTTTAATAAACCGGTAGAAGTTTCGGCACCCGAAGACCATTATAGGGCGATCCAGCGGCGTCGTCAGCGGTGGTGTAGGAGGAGGAGGGTTAATGCTCTATTTGGACGTCCGATTGGGGTTGATTGTGCGCGTCGCGCGCGTACAAGGGTGTGTTGTGCAACACAATGGACTCCCCCTATGCACATAGGCCACACGAACAATGCACTTAAATGATCGTTAGGAAATTAGGGAGATGTTAAATCGGTTGTCGAGAAATTGCACCCCAATTAACTTGTAATTCATTACCAGGGAGACCGCGAGCGCCGGATTTTAAGTCCATCTCAATTGGTTTATTGAATCGTTTAAAGAGCGAGACAATCTACGGTGCAGGCGGCGGGCAGAAGGCCTAGGCAATAGAGAAAGAGAAAATGGGAGAGAGTGAGTGAGAGAGTGACTTACAGAGGGGAGAGAGAGGGGATTTACACGTATATAATGTAGAGATTTTGTAGCCTCTTTCTCTTTTTTACCGTCTTTGTGTGTCCGCTAAGTGTTCTGCGGTACACAATTAGCGCGGTGTTTTAGTGCGACTGTAAACTCGAAAGAAAAAAAAATCTATTAATCTCCTTCCATTGTTTTCTACTGCTTTGGGAATTATTTAAGTCTATCGCGTCGTCGATGTGGTGGATTTCAATTAAGCTGTTCCGCGTGCGATTCCGGAACAAAAGGATATATAGCAGTACGAGCAACCATACACAATTAAGACCCGAAACGGAATCTCTGTAAGGGTGACCGTAAAAGACAAATAATTATAATCGCACTACATAATATATAAATTATATCTAGACTAGTAGTTGCATCGTTAAAACAATTTATGTTATGTCATTAATAGAAATGGAGAAATAATACATGTATTACATGTAGGAGGCTAAAAGCCCATTAAATAATAATAATATTTGTACGTACATTTGTTTCCCGACTATAATTTAGTTTTTACTATACATCGCACTAACAAATTCGTACAAATTTATAATTAAATCGTTTACTTATGACCTATATATTTTTTTTTTGTCGAAACAAATTATCATCTAAAATATTAAAATCTTAGTTTTTTACCTACACAACATTTTTAATTGTCTATATTGTCATTTATAATTTTCAAACAATTTTAGTAGGTACTTTTTCTATGACTACCTATTATAATAATTATTATGAGGTGCCTTTGTATTACCATTGATTAATTGTTTAATAGATTATCAATGGTATTAAGTACTCTTTTTATTAATATTTTATACTTTCGAATTTCTAATTGTTTCTAAAATAAATTAATTGGGAGATCAATAATATTGGTTTTACAATAAATTATATGTTTTTTTTTTCAGAAAATTTATTTTCACCCAGTCATAATAAAAGTCTAAATTTATCTATGTGACCCAAGCAATTGACTTTAAATTGAAGTATAGGTCCTAAAAAAAATATTTGAAAGTATAATCTGTTTGAATATTATTATAACTGATCTCTTTGTTAGTTTTGTTTGTTTATTTGTTTTTAATTGTATAGAAACCTTCTCATAAATTTGTAATTAAAAAAAAATTTGAAATTTGAACGGCATCAAAAATTTTACCTGCACTCTGGCTTCACTGAGATCCAATCGTAAGGCGAGTTCTTCTCTGGTAAATACATCAGGATATTGTGTTTTTTCGAAAGCTCTTTCTAATTGATGTAATTGATATGTGGTGAATGTTGTTCTACTACGGCGAACTTTTCGCGGTTTATCGTCATCGTGTTCGTCGGACCGATGCAATGATTGATCGGTCCCACTAGCAGCATATAATGCGTCCAATTTCGATTGGCAATGAACACTCGTATTTTCTAAAAAAAATTGTCAAATAATTATTATTTATTGGGATGTATAAAAAAAAATAATTTAAATTATTACTAATAAAAAAAATATGGACTTGAGACATGGAATAAGCGCTGTGAACCCGTCGCTTGACCTAAACGTCGATGACATGATACATAAATATATACTATAGCTAATACAAAATTAGGTACAACTGTACCTACTACTGTAGTTTTAGTCTGATCACGGTTTATTTTTTAAGAGAATACCACACATTACTACTTCTGATCGTTTTACCATATTATAATTTTTATTTAAAACTATGGTATAAGACATTTTTAAAATAACCCACTTAAATTCCTACCACTGATACTGAACAACGTTTTGTTGAGGGAGAGGGACTATTTAATTTAGTGCTTGGATAAGTTAGGGATCGTTCTAAAAGCAGTATTAAAAAAAACATATTGTAAAATAAATATGTTTCTTTGTTTGCTTACGACCTATAAACCATTGTGACTATAGCAATTCGTATAGTCACAGTGTGTATAATTGTTCGTGTATAAAATTATCAATTACCTAAACGTAATATAAAAAATAAACCCATAATGATACTGTGGGCTCCGGCAGATTTGATTAACGTTAATCTGATGTACCTATAGGTATAAAGCTCAGAAAATGATTATTTATTTTTAAAAGGTGGTTCGAAATTCTTAGGTAGGCATATGAATGTGATAAAACAATACAAATGTATTTTTATGGTGGTGTTTGGTGACGGAATAAAGGGTTTTTAAACAACCGGAGAGAGAAACGTCGTTGTCAAGTACCTACCTACTTAACTCGTATACAGGGTGGAAAGAAGGATGGTATCCCATATCCATATATGGGTTAGATGTCAAGCCAATGATTTACTAAAAACAATTCTTGTAAAATGATCATAAATAATAAAAGTAAATATTTATTGTTGTTTTTGGACGCTGGTAGTACAGTTGACTTAATTTTCTTAATTTTAATATCCTGTAGTATAGAATTAGGACACTATTTTTTTTATGTAATATATATAATATTTAATATTATAACTATCATAATTTATTATACTAATATTATTTCCTCTTTTATGGGTTGTGGCAGTATTTACACTTTTTGCGCCATGGGTTAACAATATACGGCTTCTCCCCCCAAAAAAAATTAATCCGTTTTTTAATTGTTTAGCTGTAGTTCTTTATTTATGAAAATGTTGTTAAAAACACAGATCACGATGATACATTATTTTAATTATTGTCAAAACGTATAATAACATATAATTGAAATCTATATAAAAAAATTACAAAAAATAATAGTTATCATTGATTGACAAAATGAGTGAATGACGCCAAATGGCCGTATCATAGGGATGCAATGCACAAAGTACAAGTATATAGGTACTCAAACAAATTCTTACCAAAAAAAAAAAAAAAAATGTTTATTATAATATAATATACACCGGCGCCTGGCCGCCCCCTAAATGCGTTAAAAATTGGCCGCCCGGGGCAAATGTCCCCTTTGCCCCCCTTAAATATGGCCCTGGGTGGAGGGCTGCGCACACGAGGCAATAAGCTTCATGACTTTTAGTATGATCATAATACGGAAGGTTCTTAAATACACATAGGGTACCTATACAAAATTAGACCTCCGGTGAATGTAAATGATTGTGAAACTTTTGCTAATTTAACTAATGTGGATAAAACATACGGCGTATTGCAGTCCAGCAAAATGTTTAGCGTTTTCCGGGAAACACGGATGAGAAATATGTTATTTTAATAATTATTACTCTGTTACGTTATTATTATGATGATTTCACTCTATATAATATTCGCCCCATTAAATCTCCGTGACGTACTGCTGCAGGTACCTCTCTATACCTAATTACGAGTAAATGGCTGTAAGACCCGTCGGGGACGGCGGCGGCGGCGCTCGCGGCCGCTCGTACACGCACGTTGTATAGGTTCATAATATTAATCATGTATTAAAACGGTCATATAAGCCGCTTACGAGGTTTTTGTTATTGCGCGTTGATTGTATAATATGCACCCCTCGCCCCCACCTAATGTGTGTAATATATGTAATAGTAATCGGCTTACGAAACGTTCAGTTTCCAAATCGCTCGGGTACCTATATATATACACACACACACACACACACACACACACACACACAATATAATATAATATCTACTCTGCCCGTACTGCACGTTTCATGTATACCTACCTACTACGCATAATATGATGGGATGTACAATATTTTATTATTATTATTAATATTATTTATACGCCAAAAGTACCAAGTCGGCTGCAGTACGAAATTCAACGTGCGCGCAACAGATACGGAATTTACGTCCGGTTTACACCCATTGTTGTAGTCGGCGTGCACAGCACACATTCATATACGCGCGCGCGCTCCGGTGTGTGCCCACTTGACTTCCGTTAAAATCCATTGAGTTTCCCGCCGTCCCTTTAGGATTTTCTGCCGGTCGCCTTCACCGCCACTGCCGTTCGATTGGGGCCCTCTACCACCCCTCTGCGATCGAGTTTTTCGCGCATAAACAGAAATATATAATATTTAATACCGATATACCTACCTACGTATTACTATTATAAATTATTGTTATTATAAAATTAAATATCGTCTAATACTGAATAACACTTGACAGTTACTGCCTACTACTTATTTATTTTGTTACGATTTCGCGGAAATTATATACGCGCGTGCGAGGTTTATGTGCATCGATAGTTGTGGGCGGCGCTTTTATCAATAGTATATTATTATGATTTATTTCCAATAATTTGGAGCATGCATGATGGTACTAGTACAAAGTAAAAATTACACATAATAACATTATACTCGTAGTATTATTACGAATTATTAGTAACAGTTGCAAAATAACGAGAAAAACCATTTTAACTTAACTTTTTAAGTTGTAACTTATTAACTCGTTAATTGTAGACGTTAATACCCGGCCTTCGTTTTTAGTTTCATATATTTTTGGGCATGTACCAGTTGCCCCCAAAGTTACCTTTTTTTTTACACCGATTGCCCAAAAACTACCTAGAGCAAATTGTACCAGTTGCCCTCAACCAAATGTACCAGTTGCACCAGTTTTTTTTTTTTTTTGACAAATTATCACATTGAATATTCCACTTTTCATTATAATTATATTATTTATTATGAATTTTTTCTACCATTTTCTACTATTTTTTTGTTGAAAAATTATGACATTGAATGCCACATAATTAAAATATTTATTATTTTATTGACTATTGTATTCATATTATTTTGTTAGTAATTATTATTTATTACAAAATACAATATTAGGTATATATTCCAAGCATATGATTTTTTTTCTATAATTTTATACTATTTTATAAGTTTTATTTATTATTTGTATATTTACCTCCCCTATTTTACGGGCTATAATATATTATAATCGTGTATACACTATATATTAACATGTAAGGGCAACTGGTGCATTCGGTTGGGGGCAACTGGCACATTTGGTTGAGGGCAACTGGTATATTTTTAAAATCCCGATAACAGCCGTGGGGGGCAACTGGTCAACACCTATATTTTTTTATGATAAATATGTAAGACGTCAATAATGATTTTCAGTTCCACAGTTATTTTCCATATAAATACATGTTAACACGTATCGCGAAATTCAACATTATTTAGTTCAATTGAACAAAAAAGATCAACATTTGTTTCATTATTAGTTACCTAGTAGTTGTTACTAGCACAACCGCCAGTCTATCGGTGTCATAGAGTCAACAATTTAAATGACTATAACACAATGGGAGAAAAAAACGATTAAAACACTAAACGTTTGAATTGCTAAAAAATTACCTGGGGAAGATAGTTTAATTTTTTAGCAATTTAGATTTATCTATGCAGGTTACACTTGTCACTTATTGTCAATAAGTATGTGCGAATAAAGTAAAAATGCAGGAATTAATTATTACTATTGTTGTTATTTGTAAATCTTAACAATTTATATTTAAATTATACATTTAACATTAAGTTATATGTACCGATTATATGTATTATAATTATTTTATATTATAATTTGCAAATTTAAAAAGGTTTTGATATAAATAATAAAATCTATCATTACATCCATTTTAATGTATTATATTTTAGTTAGTATATATTTTTTTTTAGGTATTAACTTTCTCAATTATATATCTAGTATGGGTAGGTTATATATGCTATATATAGTTGATTAAGTACTTACCTACATTATAGTATATTACCATTCTTGTATTTTAATCTACTATTTTAAAACGATCATCAAGACTTTAAGTATTTTATTGTCATAACCCATTTAAAATTAATTTGTATGCGATTAATTTAATTGAAGTGCTCTTCAAAAAATTATGGATTTTTACTATAAACAATAGTATTATAACTAAATAATAATTATAATAACTGTTGGCTCGGATATTTATTACAAAAAACTGAATGATATTTCATCAATAATAATATTATCATTGAATATTTTTAAGCAGGTATATTATATATTTATTAATAATGAAAAATACCTATTGTGTAACAAACCTAGTAGGTATAGTCGGTATAGAGGTGCATTATTTTATTGTGAATCATATGGTATTAAATTGTTGGATATTAATATATTATACCATCCATGCCTCATATTAGGTACAGTTTTTCAGTTATTTCACATTGTTTTATATTATATCTATTTTTGTCTGTTGTTCACGGTTATCATGTCAATTCTACGTTATATATTATATAAATTCTTCAATTTGACGTTTTGATCCGTTTAGTGAGACGAATAGAAATTTTATCTCGAAACAGATCTTCATTTTTTACACATCTCGTAATTACATATTATGGATGACTTTTATGAATCAAAATACAAAGAAATGTAGTTGTTTTGAAAATGTTTCGTAATTAGCTCATCACGTTACGAAAAATTTAAAATTAAAAATCATCTAATATTTTAATTAAGCTAAATTAGGTAACACTATAATAGGGTACACTATACTTCATAGTTAATATATAATCAAGGCAATGAATAGTTATACCCACACTTTACTAAATTATTAAGTAAAGAAATAAAAATAATTAATAAATAAAATTGAAAAATTCAATAAAGAAGTCCCATAAAGCAAAAATAGACATAATAATGGTGTACAATTGTAATTTATAATACATGCAGTAGTATTATGGGACTGACTAATTTATTTAAAAATTAATAGATAACTTCTCCGGCTATAGTTACTATTTTATCAATCACAAACAATTTTGATATTTGCACTCGAAAAGCAATATTTAATAAGACAAAAAATACAAGAAATTAAGTAAACACATATTTTGTTATTTAATGTCGTTTTGCATGATAAAGTGGCATAACCTGCAGTCTGCAGCTGGCACAAGAGGAGAACCTCTACCAATTTTCAAAATACAATTGTCGCTATTATAATATTATAATATAGTCTATATTACTTTATTGCCTGTTCAAATAAATACGAGGTGGTGTATATTTTATTTTATTATTTTAGCTTATACCCATTTTTACGTATTTTAAGTTTGGGTGTGTGTAAGTACTAATTTTTCATAATATTTTTTTCTTTTAGTATTTAATACAACTTTACATTTTTGAAAATTAAAAATACGTGTAGCTACTTGTCTATTATGACATTACTTTGCGCGTCCAAATGGAACCAATATTTCTCAAATTAGTAATTACACAATATTATGGATAAATAGTACATCCCTAGTACGATGCATGACTATCACGTTGGTTTCAACTATATAATATTTACTTAAATACTATTTATGCTACGTATAAAATTTAAATATATATTATAAGAAAGATAATCGATGTACAGTTAATTTAAAATGAATCCATACGTGATACCAGGAAATATAAATTGTCGATTAAAAATAATATTATTTTCGTACCGATTTTAGACGGATGAGTAGTTCCGAGAATTTGGTCGATGCTGTATACATTCCTGGCTGATTTGGTAGTATCCATATTGTATAATATTATATATCCGTTGTGTTATTGTTGTGTGCAGGTATATTATCACTTTTAATGACCACGACAACGATCACTACGTCAATGTGATCGTAACTTTAAATGTGTAGTGTAGAGTTCTCACCGTGATCGATGGTGTAGGCCTTCTCTCACGTTCGCGACTACTGAATGACACATGGTGTGTCGGTGGTGTCGGGCAGAAGGGACCGGTGGCAGGCGTGCGCGCCCCCGACCACCCTCCGCTTGGCCAACCGTTTGGGGTGGTTTTGGATGGAGGGCGGATGCGCGCAGCCACGGTCGCCAATCCCATTGGGCACTTCGCCCTACCCACGTGCCCTGCGCCCCGTATAATGACCGTGCTAATAGTTTGGTAAACGCTAGTAATAATATATTATAATACCTACCAAAATAATTAAACAATCGTATTTTAATTCCACAAAATTATCGACATTGATGTACGACAATCAGACAGCAAAATTAAAAACACTAGGATATAAACTATAATATTATAATATATACAAACATATACACATTATATAATGGCCTACCAAATGGATACCATATGGATACCAAATAGATATATTATACCAGGGTATTTTGCATTTTAGTAAACCGATACATTTTCATATACTTTTAAAGACGATTGTTCCATTATTATTTTATTTTGTAATACTTTGGTATTTGAATAGGTCGGTAGGTATTTAATTTTCCCCTAATATTGTTGTTGATTTAAAATTAGTTAAATATGATATTTTATGGTGTACATAATAAGATCACACAACATAAAAATCTTTAAATTAGTTAATTAATTTAATGCCATGTAACTATGATCCAGTAGCCAGTAGGCATACTTCAGTAACTTGGATTGTCTTCTCTCACTAGATAAATAATAAATTGTCATTTTACGTTAACTTTTATTCACCCAAGTTCACTCACCAACACTATCAGTCCAGTGACTAGTGACTAGTAAGACGACGTAAATGTTTTTGTCGGTCCTCGTTCTACTAGAATACATTTTCTTTCTGCCACTTCTCCCTGGCCGCTGCATGCACTACCAAGTACCAACTATGAGCTAGCTAGTAGCTATCTACTTAATAACCTATAGGTACATGTGAGACTCACCAATTAGGACACCCATCTATTTGACCTATTTTTGATTATTTAATTATTATTTTGTTGTATTTATATTTTAGTATTTTATTAGGCCATCAATGTTATTATTTTTTATTTTGTGATGTTTGACCACCTCTAATGTTTTTAATCTGACTCAACACAGAATTCAAGATTGTCCAAAATTCTAAAATACACAACATAACGTGTCCATATCGTACAATCTAGAAGAAGTTCTACTTAAAGAAAAAAGCACAAAGATTTTGAATTTACGAACTAAAATAAACATTGCAATATTTTATAATGTATACTTATGCAAAGTCTGTTGATTGTTTGTTTGATGTCTCAATATGGAATACTAAAAATAGGATTGATTATGTTTAGTTTATTAATAAATTATTTTTTGTTTAAGTTTTTTTGACAGTAAGAAAATATTTTTATTTTAAACGTGCCTCTAATCTAACCCTATAATTAAAATGAAATTTGCACTCAAATGCATACTTTATTCGTGGTCACGAATATTGTATTTAGTTTAACTATGTTTTTAGTGAAGGTTTTATTAAATTTGGTTAATTTGTTATTAATTATTGGAATGTTATATGAATTAACGATACCTAAATCTGTAGTTCAATTATAGATTATTTTCATATTTAACATTATATATAAAATAATATATTATGTACTCGTATGTTCTTTAAATTGTTTATACATAGGTACTAGGTACATACTACCATTGAGTGTAGAGTATAAATTGTATATATATATATATATATATATATATATATACTTAATGCTGATTCTTTACTTTAATACTTATGATTTAATTATTGATTTTTAGTCTTAAAATATACCACTAGACATTTTTAAATAGGTAGTTTTTATCGAGCTTTAACTTCGTAAACGCATATTATAGTTTCGCTAATTTTTACACGTTTGAACTATATTATTTATATTGTCAATTGATATTTATGATTTAATATGTTGTAACTTTTAGTTATCAATAATTTGTGAAAAACTTGAGATACTTTTAATTTAAAATGTTATTCATTATTTCTTGATTAAATCACTTCATCCCTAAATTCCGAGGATTAAGAAGTATATGATACTAGATACCAATCTAATCAAGATATTGCAAATTTATTAATAATACTTTAAGAAATCTTGCTAAATCTAAAAGTTCACACTCACAATATACAGGTACCTATGTTGTCTAGCTTTAATTTAATTTTATAAGAAAACTGTGTCAAAATAAGTTTTAAGGTCCTACTAATATTTATCATTGATTTATAATGATATTATTTTGTAACTAGGTAGCTGTATAGAAATATAAAAAATACAAAAATTAACCGTAAATTAGAATCCAAAGTTCTCTTTATTACCAATATATCCTTACCCCTTTTACTGTGTTTTAATAATAAACCTTTAAATTGGATAGTTTTAAAATTTAAAATTAGATACATAGAGTAACCTGAGGTATAATGGTGCACCTAACATTTAACAGCTGGTAGTGGTAGCATACACGTTTTAGAAATATTGTTATATTGTTTTCCTATCATAAATATTACGTAGACTTCAATTTTCAGGCAAAATTTGATTTTACCAAAGCAAATACCAACAATTTCGAATAATTAGAAATTATAACAAATGCGTCTTTTTACCCCATTATTGGGGTAAAAGTGAGCACTTAATGATGTAATAGGCCGCTTGCTAAATTTATTCATAAAAATCTATTTTATTAAAGAATGTTATCTATTTTATTTTTATCAAATAATAAGTTATAAATATATATAATATGCATGCATAATATAATAGTTCCTAATATAATATAATATAATATAATATAATTAATACAGTATTAGTAGTAAATACTAAGTCGAAGTAATTTTTTAAGTATAATTATTCAATAAATATTACATACTATTATTTAATCATTTGATGATACATCGTAGATATAATGTACCTATTAGTTTAAATAAATTAATAAATACATAGATATAATTAATTCAATTTCTAGCTAGAAAAATTAAATGTTTATAAAAGTAGGTAATCAATTATCACATAAGAAATGTACACTCTTACCCCAAAACCCACTGAGACATTTTACCCCAATATGATTTTCTGCATAAACGGTATTGTAGTATATTAAGTTGTTATCATATTAATATTATTTTACTAGTATTGACGTTTAGTCACCTACTTGTACTAATAAACGAATATATATAAAAGCAACATCTAACGTGTCGTTATACATATAGTACACATTATTACTTCTATACTAGTCAAATATTATATCAGACGAATACAATTAATATTTTACCTCATATTGCCGCCAAAACATCATCAATTGCTGAAGAAAATGTTTTATCACGTTTGGCTATGATAACATAATCCTAATAACAAAAATGTTTGACCAGATAGCAATTATTAAATTACTTATACACAATAGTTCATTTTGTCCCATGCGCCATAATACCCCAGGCTACTCTAAGTCATTTAATTTGAAAGTTTACTAAATCACGGTTAATACAGTATTTTATTTTATATCCAGACATGCGTATTATAATATATCCCCCTATATTATATTATTATAATAGCTCTAACAAGGGGACTGAATAGCCTGTGAAAACAATACTAACAAGGGCCACTATTCGAATTGAAATCACAAATTTAATTGAAACCTATCACACACGAAGGGGTTTTTTCACTTAATGAGTCAAAACGAATATTTTGTTCTATTACTAAAATTTATTTTTATTCTCATGAATCTTAATAACTCATAGTATAGTGTACTTGTGATTTATTATAAACGGTCATTTAACAACTAATTACATATCTAATGATTAAACGTGAAAAAACAATACTAATTTAAATTAAATTATACAGTCAACCAATGTACTAATATATATTAATAAAATTAAATATCCAATAAATTAACAATCAAGTAGATATATATTTGTTGTTATGTTTTAATTATTTTATTGATTATTATTGTTATAGTTATAGCAGCAACATAATGTGATATTAAAAATAATTTAAGACATTCTTAATTATTCTTCAATAAGTTTTCAAAATAATTTTAATAGAGTTCAACTATTTCCAAGTACTTACTTTTTTAAAGAAGCATTTATAAGTAATAACAAAATAATACTCAACAGCCATCAAAACAATAATTAATAATTTTAATTTAGTCTATTTAGAGAGGAATAAAGATAACAATTATATAAAATACACATCATGATTATATACCTGTAATAGTATTATTATTTATTACTATATTATTAAATTCTTTCAATTTATATTATTCTGTTTGACGGTTCAGTTTTATGACAGATAAACTCATGTTTGTATTAAAGTGTTTTATTCGTTTTTTTTTTGTTTTTTTCACCCTAATGCCCTAATTAATGTTATTTTTAGTTAAATTAATTAATTAATATTAGTTTTCATTTGAATAATTATAATTTTATGTAGGTATGCATTATGCAACTATGCAAACTTATTGTAAAATCATAATGAGAAATGCTTCAAATAACAATAATTAATATAAACGTTACGAATTATACTGCAGAAAAATGAGAATACATTTACAAATGTAGAACTTAATAATATGTATATGGAGAAGAGAAAAAAAATGGGTGGCTTTAAGGTATTTAGTATACCTATAGGGCTTTTTTTTAGTATAATATTTCTAATTAGCCTCTTATACTATAGAGTTGCAGTGTCAAATGTACAGGACTCGAAAAAATTGGATAGAAATTGTCCAGGATGAAGGTAAAATAAAGTATTATTATTTCAAAACAACCAAAGGGGTTGATTACTAAGGAAGAACACTTGACAAAAATTAAAAGTATAACAATAGCTTCAAACATATATTGTTTTATAATTTTTAA